TAATAATAATATAATAATAATATAATAATTATATTATAAATATATTTAGCAAAATTTGAAGTTTCTGCAAAGAAGTAACTATATTTAAATAATGAATACGTATATTATTACTAACTAAATTAAGCAAGAATATTACTTGACTTAATATAAAAAATGTTTAAACAAAAAAAATAAAGAAAAATAATCCTAAAACCAAAAAAAATATCAAAAAAAATAAATTAAAGATAACAAAAAATAACTCAAGTATAAACCAATATATCAAAATAATATATATTATATTAATTTGCAAAATTTGAATCTGTGCTCAGTTTACAGATTTTTTTTCATAATATTCAAATTGATAGTTGGACCTGAGCATGCATTACTTGGATTACTTATAGGTGGGCTGATGTCAGGTTGCAATTATACCCATATCTCCAAAAAACTTTTTAACCTTACACTGATAAAAAGTTGCATCTAACCCGTGCCTTCAAAAAACTTTAGATAAAAGGTTGTATCTAACCCGTGCCTCCGGCACGGTTGCTCGCTAGGTTTGAATAAATAAAACCAAATCTATCATAGTAAAAAAATGATTTATTTTATAATATTTTTAGTATTTATCTTATTTATTTAAACAACTTATATGACGATTTTCTATATATAGTGTAAATTTATATATTAAATAATATTTATATACTATATTTTATCAATTACAAATAACAAACCCATTACAAGACAAGTAGTCATAGGTGCTACTGCAATATAAGAATAAAACAACAAAGTAGCCATCTCTTCTTTAAAAGTGCCGGTTAATTGCACCAAGTTCATACAATTAATAGCAGTTGGACCACTTGCAAATAACATTAGAACAAACAATAACATTGGGTCATTTATATACCATGTTCTTGTTGATAAAATCGTAACCACACCAATTATTGGCATTATTATAAACCTGCAAGACATTATATAAGCGATGATGGGTAGTATTTCTTGACTTTTGGCATGTGGCAAATTATTTAAATGAGCACCAAGTGTGATGAGGGTTAAGGGTACATAGGTAGCCCCCATGTATTCCATAACTTTTGATATTGTAGCAAGTGGCGAACGTTCGTTAAAGAAAATGAATTTGAGGAAAGGAACAGTACCAACAACCAAAGCAAGCATCGCAGAGCATAGTGGTGGGTTCAACGTACCACGGACAGCTTTAACAACCCTACTAAATAATGACCGCCGCCTTTGATGTGAGATACCTTCCGTTCCCAACAACGGGGTTTCTCCGGATAAAATTTCCTCGGATAGTTCTTTTTTAAGCAAAAACGCACCTAAACTCCACCTATCAAAAATTAGTAAGCACACCAATTATCGTTATAAAAAAAGTAGCACAAAAATCGAGCAATAATTACCGCAGCAAGTTACCAAAGAGAGTGGATAGCAATATATAAGAAGTTCCTCTTTTGATAGAGTTAGAAGGATCATCCCCTTCTCCCCAACGTAAAATTTGCATTGCGCTGGTATCACTCATACCTTTTAATATTCCTAATGAAAGGCTTGCTACATTATTAAACATGATACTAGTTACCATGAACTTTGTATTTGAAATAGACAAGTTGAATAATTTCCTCCCAAATACACCGAGAATGCCACTGGTGGCTGTGAAAAAGAAATAAAAGACGGGTATAGGCCAAAGTCGCAGTAACATTTCATAGTCGATGTTAGCGGCAATTCTCGAAAACAGGAAACATGGCATTAATATTTTTATTATCAATTTGGAAAGACCCTGTATCGATGCACAAATTGAAAAAATTGAGCAATAATTTATAAAAATATATATATTTTAATATTAACCTCTTGAATACTTGAAGTGATTATTCCAAGTTTTGCGACCACATAACCGGTAAGGCATAAGAGGAGAACCTGTGCAATGGACTGACAAAACTAATCATTAACATATCGATATGAATGAAATAAATAAAGTGGTACATGGAATGACTCATCGTGTGATTTCTACCTGAACAGAAACGAGAAACAGAGAAAAAGGAGCGATATCCATTTGGTATAGAAAGATCTAATCTAGAAAGGTAATAAATATTGTTTCTACTTTATCGCACAAATTTTAACAAAGTGTCATCGAGAGTTTGAATCCGAATATATTGATATTTTATAATCCGGATATAAGTTTAATCCATTTGAGTTTACGTACTGGATAACGCGGATATTACAATTTAGATTAAACTAAATTGGAGACTTTTGAGGTCCGGAACTTGAATCTAATTACAGGACGGCATTAAATAATGCTAATTATGTAGCGAAATTATCGTGTGTGCATTTCTACTTAATGACAGTCTGACCAACTAAGATTCATTATATTATTATATTATTATATTTAAATAAGCAAACTTTTGTATTTTAGGACTGGGTAAGAGAAAAATTAGAAATAGCGACTTTAGAAAATACCATTTCTAAATTCCAAATTGCTGTTTCCGGTTTTCTCTTGGTGTCATTATATTCTAAGAGGTTAGGTTCAGGAGGTCTGATTTTTTTAAACAGCTCCCAAAATTTTAATGCTAGACATCTTATCGTAATATATACTGTATTGCCCTAAAATAGCGTTATTTCGAGTAACTTAAAAAGGGCTAATAATTAATTTAGTTGAGGATGTTTTAAAACCCTGATGATTTCGCTTTTTGTAGCTAGTCAGATAGATAAAATAATTTTGATAAACGTTAAAATTATGATAAATACAGTATCAGAGTTTAAAATCTTCGGTTATATTAATTATTGGCTCTTATTAAATTAAATTACTGTAGATTGTCATATAGGGGATCCTTAATAGTAGACCCCCACAACTAATTAAACCTACGTAAATTACAGACTCCTAAAATCGAATGTGGTTTTTTTAAAAAATCTTTCACAAATGCAAATGCGCTTAAAAATCGTCTTTTTATAATATAAACACTCAGTTATATACTATACGGGTCTATTAGAATGTTCGGAACTTCACATCCGGGTTATCCGATAATATCGATACCAGATAAGTATTTAATATTGATTATGCAGCTGTTTTCATTATTTTTGGGACATCTGGTAAAAAAAATTGACAAATGATTGTTTTGCCGATTTTTTGATTTCGGTAATGATCGATTACGTAATAATGTATATCTCTGCTAAATGTCAAGACTTTACGATAAGTGTTGATCAAATATTACGGGTTGAATGTCGTCAAAGAAAAACCTGTCATCAGGCTTTCAATTATATTTGTATCTGTCACAATCAGTACTGTTTGTTAAAAATATATCTGACCATGAGAATTCTTTGGCTTTTGAATTCATTAACCTATATGTAATTTTAAATTCTTGTCTTGTCAACTACTTAAGCAAAAGGTCTTGTTTAGAAGATCTTTGTTTAGAGTTGTCTGATCTGTTTAACTCTATATTTGTTATACAATTAAAGTCTCTTATAATTATTATTTGTATTTATTGTAATCATTTGATATATTTTTCTATTATTGTTTTTTGTATTTTTTCTTTCTTATTATTAGATAGTATATAGAATGTTATAATTATAATTTCTATTTGTTTAAATATAAAATTGATTATAATAATGTAGCAAATAAAAAGACTAAAGAAAAGGCATCAAGTAGAAATATGAATATAAAATAGATTCAAACAAATGAAATGGAAAATTGATCAGAAGAAGAAATAGTACTAGACTAAAGAAATGATTAATATTAACAATAGCTAAGTTAATAATAATATAAATAATAATTTTAATAATATTAAAAGAAAAGCAAATAGATATATATATAGATAATAACATTACAATAAGAAACATTAATAGAGGTTTAGAATATATAGATAAAAATAAGATTTTAAAAAAAAACATAATATGAATAATAAAGATTATAGACTTCATTAAGATAAAAAATATACAAATAGAATTAGTCAAAGTGAAAAGTTACAATAGAGACAAGTAAAATGATAAACTAATAGTTTTATAAAGAAAAAAATATCAAATAAAAAGATAGTATATTCAAAAGAACTTAGTTATAAAAAAATAGAATATTGCTTAAAATAAAAAATAAATGAACTAATATATTAGCACAAAAAAACTAAACTCTTCTTGTTAATTATTTAGACACAAAAAACAACTAAAGAAAAAAAAAGATTTTAGCAAAGTTAGCAATAAAAAACATCTCAAATAACTCTAAGTAGAAAGAAGCAGCAATATAGAAAGCAATAAACTAATAGAAAAAAAGTTTATCTGCAAAACTAATAAAATAGTTACTAAAAAAAAAGCAAAAAACTCATCAAAAAATAACAATATTGAAAATTGTTATTAGACTCTGTACTATAAAGCTGTTTACATTACACAAAAAATACATAATAGTAAAACAACAACAAACATGTGCAGATTACTAAATTAGCATAGATATCACAAATCACATATTGATACATGTAGAACTCTGTATATAAATAAGCAAAATAACAAAAGAAATCTAAAAACTAATTAGAAGTATATAAATATGAAGTATAGAGAAAGTCTATTAATAATAGTCATGAAATAAGTGTACTAGGCAATGATCAGAATATATAATAAAATATTCATCAATCTGTCAAATAGTATATATATAATATCAGACAAAGGAGATAAAATTATGGGTATGTTTACAGAACAAAACTTAGTAAAAGTTGTATTATTAAGAAAAACTAAAGAATTAATCAAAAGAGCAGAAAGAGAACAACCAGAAAAAAAACTTAATTTTACAGAAACAGATAAGAATATAATGCTGATTGAACTTAAAAGAATTCAAGAACAAGGAAATAAAGAAGTAATACAACAAGAAATAGTCAAAAAAGAAGAAAAACAAGAAGACAAACATAAGACAAAAAAAAAATTAAAAGAAAGATAGTAGAAGACAATACAAGCAAAAGAAAACTACAAGAAAAAAACTTACTATAAAGAAAAAAGAAAAAATAAAGATAAATAATAAAAGTGTAAACCAAATAAAGAAGAATTACTTATATAAGAAAAAGAATCAAGAAAAAAGTAAACAAGAAAAATAGAACAAAAGGATATAAAAATAAATAATAAAAAATTAAGACAAGATTCAATATTAGAAGAAAAAAAAGACTAAAAAGAAGAAAGCAAGTAATGAAAAGAGAAATAGATATAGTAGAAATTTTATTAGATAAAAGCATATAGGCACCAAGCAGAAGAAATTGTAATAAAAGTAACAGTCTACTTCTTAATATACTGGCACACAATGTGCCTGAAGAAACAGAAGAGAAATACATAAAGTTTATCAAATAGTCATTAAAAGACAATAAACATATTAAGAACATTAAAAAAACCTTTAAATGAGGAAATCTGTAGATTAAGATAAACTTTGATTGCGAATATGATAAAAATAAAGCAATACAAAGAATAAGTAAAAAAGAAAGTGATTGATACAAAATAATACCAGAAAAGGACAAAGAAAAAAGAACAGAATAAAAAAAATACAATAATGAATACCAAAATAAAAAAGATAGTACAACAGAATATAAGAAAAAAAGTTATAGAAAAAAGAAAATTAGAAAAGAAGAAGAACATACAAATATTGAAAAAGAAGAAGCAAAGAATATAAAACATATAACAATCTGGAACCTGTCAGCAGATATAAACAAAAAGGAACTTGAATACATCTGTAGAAGATTCAAAAAAGTACAAATAATAAAAATTAAAAGGTCTAATTCAAGTAGAAGAATTAGAAAATAGAAATACTTCTTGGTCTATACCAGTTAATAACCATAAACTGGTAAGAGTAATAGAAGAAAAAGAAGATCACAAAGCAAGACAAAAACAAAAGTAGTATATAGCAAAATTAACAGAGCCATCAAGTAATGCTTCAGAAGTTTTATTATTATGATGTTTGAGAAATAAAGGTGCAAAATCAGTGTACATTCTATTGAATAAAAACAGAAATCAAAGAAGAACTACAATAATTTTATTTGTAACAAAAAGAAAAAAAGAAACAGCTTAATTAAAACCAATTATGTATAATAACTTCTGTGTATTTTAGTCAAATAAAAATAAAAAAAAAGTAAAAAAAAAAGGTTCTCAAAAAAGAAAAGAAAGTAACTAGGACAGAACAATCTAAAATTTAAGCAAAGATTTGCAGAAATAGGAAAAGAAGACCTAGATGATAGAAATACTAATATAAAAAAAGAAAAAAACTAAAACAAAAGCAGTTAAAACTCAAACAAGAGACATATAGAAATAAAAAATGATTCTCAAATACAAGATATAGTAGAATGGTTAAGTAACAGAAATATTAATACAGAGAAAGAAGATTCACAAACATAGAACCAAGATCTTTTGGAAAAAATCCTTGAGAGACTAGAGAGACTTGAAGTACAACAAAACAAGATAAAATAAAAGACAGAAGAATATATTACCAATTGCTTCTAATAGTACTACAATTGAATTAATAAGCATAGACTAGAAAATCAGAGAGTTCTTGCATAGTAAAAGAAGAATTTTTGAAGAAAAAAATAAAGATGCATCACCTGGCTATAATGGAAAACCAAAGAAAAAAGAAAAAGAAAAAATAGAAAACATAGAAACAAGATATAAATATTTGAAAGAAAAATAAAAATAGAGAAAAAAAGAATTAAAAATAGCATTGTTATAGGTGAAAGCCTTCTTAATTTTCACACTATAACGATGACACGGCACAGGGAATCCCTTACGGGTATATG